CTTCCAGCTCATTTGCCTCAGTCACTTTATCTCGTTTCTGGACATGTGCAGATATGGTCGTCTGCTTCTGTTTTGGGGGCATCTTCAGGGGTTATCTGTGGCCTTAATACTTAGATGGCTGTGTATTTTGGTATTTTTTATGCTTTCTGAATGCCTCCAGGTGATGTGATCAGGAAATGGGCTTCCCTTTTCACTCTTCTTCATTTATCTCAGCAGTTCTGCTAGGTGTCTGTGGCCACTCCGATCCTTTCCCCACGTGGTCTCACCCAAGATGGCAGCTCCTGGAGCAGCTGAGCGTCCAGGACTAGAAAGCAATAGATTTCTTGCTTCTGCCACAAATTCCCCCAGCTGTGAACCTTCCAACCTTATAAGTATTCCTTTATATGTGGGTCAGAGTTTGGGGACCATCCCCTGAACCTGCTTGGTCGGGTATTCTGTGTTGTTGGCGGAGCTCTCTGCTATACGTCCACCCGATCCGCCATCTTGTTTGTTCTCACAACATAATACTTTTAACTGATTAATTTATAGACTTTATTCAGATTTCACCAGTTTTCCTCCAATGTCCTATTTCTGTTCCAGAATTTAATCCAAGATCCCACATTGTGTATTGTTGTCATGCCTCCTTGTTGTTGTTAAGTACTTTCGAGTCAGTTCCTACTCATAATGACCCTGTATAGCGTTTCCAAGGAGCAACTGGTAAGTTTGAACCATTGACCTTTTGGTTCAAACTGACCTTATGGTCCAGTGCTTTATCCCACAGCACCACAACCAGGATAGCAATGTTAATGTCCTAGTTTAGACCACTGTATTCTGGTTATGTAAGATGTTAACACTTATAACAAAATGAAGACAATATAAGAACTGTCATATTTTTATAACTTTTGTGAGTATAAAACTTTTTTCTAAATAGACAAAAACAATGTGATGGCTAAACAAGTATAAGTTATAAGTAGATATTTACTGATTAACAGAGTTAAGGATTGATTGTTTTATGTGAACTATTTTAGAGACACCTGTATTCTTGATTTAAATTCAGAAGTCTAAGAAAATAATTCAGGAAGGATCCCTGTCCTTTTTTATTAAATCCAGAATAGCTGGCTTTCCTGCCATACTTCAAATCCTTTACAAAGAAAATCTGATCCATTTATGAAGTTTAAAATATTTCTTTTGCTGAAAGTGGAAAATGGATGGGGATAGACTTTTACAAAGGAGAACATTAAGTGGTGTTAGTCCCGCTTCTCAAAGTGTATGCAATGTCTTCCCAGGTATTCCGCAAGGACCTCATCAGTGCCATGAAAATTCCAGATTCTCACCACATTAACCCTGACAACTATTACCTCTTTACGGACACATGGAAAGAAGAATGGGAGAAGGGAGTCCAGGTACCAGCCAATCCAGAAACTATTCCACAGCCTTCCGTCAGGTATTTATATGCTTATATGTTCTCGTGGTTATCTGTATGCTGCTTGGGAAGAAACTTCTGAGTGTTTAATTATACATTGAGAATATAAAGTCACATGCCATGTTCACTCAGACCAGTGTCAGATTACACCAGATTAGGATAGGTCATCTACCACCCATCTGTAAATTTGTCATACTATGGTGACTTGTGTTACTTTGAAGCTATAAACTATGCCACCAGCATTTCAAATAGCAAGCAGGGTTACCCATGGTAAAAGGTTTCAGTGGAGCTTCCAGACTAAGACAGACTAGGAAGAAAGGCTTGGTGATCAACGTCTGAAAATTAGCCAGTGAGAAACCCTATGGATCACAACAGAATATTGTATGATATATTGCTAGAAGATGAGACCCCTAGGTTGGAAGACACTCAAAATGCATTGAGCACTGCAGTTGAGGAGACTTAAGTATTCCAAAGAAAGCTAGCATGAAATAAAATGCCTAGACTAGAGCATCCACATCATGCAAGAACTTGATCAAACCCAACCAAACTTATGTGGTCAAATCAATTCCAATTCATAGCGACCCTATATGACAGTAGAACTGCCCCATAGAATTTCCAAGGCTGTAGATCTTTTTACAAGGAGCTCTGGTAATGTAGTGGTTACAAGTCAGGCTGCTAACCTCAAGGTCAACAGTTTGAAACTGTTCTGCTCCTGTAAATAAAGACTTACAGCCTCGGAAACCCTATGCAGGGTCACAATGAGTCAGAACCGACTCCATGGCATACCACCACCACATCTTTTTAGAAAAATAGACTACTATATCTTTTTCCCACAGAGTGACAGGTAGATTCAAGCCACCAACCTTTTAGTTACCAGCCAAGTGCTTAACCACTACACCAACGGCAAGGAGTTTGGTTTAGTTTGAACAAGTTCCTACAAGATCCTGGTGCTACTAGTCCAGGGACAATATTTCGAGAACAATTGCTATGAAATGTTTTATTTCCTGACTTTATTAGAAATCTTCATATTTTTGTCAGGCTGCTTGGATTCCCTTATGGGATCAAACATATTGAATGCTCAGTGATTTGGCATTGAAGTTTTATGTTTGGAGTATAATCTCAACTGAAAGTGTTCATCGCAGCTACCCTTGGTTATCAGCATCTTAAGAGCAGAAATCAAATTGTGTCTTATGTTTTTTACTCTCTCGATTTTGTAGATTATCTTGAAAGTTAAATCTTTGTGATTGGCAGTGACATTGGAACACTGATGAAGGATGGGATTTTGTATCCATGTTGAAATTTCCAAAATCATATGACTTCAATGAATATTTTACAGTGTTGTATAAATTTAAGCCCATGGTGTGAAGTTACTCCCAAACTAGCCTTTTGCCTAGAATCTAATCCTTTTTATTTATTTATTTTTTTAATTAAGTGAAGGTTTACAGAGAAGATCATCATGCAGATGTATTAATTTTCTTTGGAGTTACGCTATAATTTATTTTTTCCCTGTTTAAGACAGTCTTTTATCATGACATCTACTTGACTTCTTAGTCATTTGGAAGTTCTATATCTATCCTATTAGTCCCTCTTTGTGCTTTGTAGCTGACTTCATTATACATTGATATCTCTGGTTCCCTATTTTCAGTCTTGAAGGTTTGTTTTACTTTAGATATTTGTACATCTGGATTGAATTCTAGGTGTTGTTGTCATGTATGGTAATTTCAGGTTGTCGTCTACTGGTGTTGGTTTTCAGTCCAAAAAACGCCCTTTAGCATTTTTTTTGTAAAGTTGGTCTGGTCATTACAAAGTCCTTTAATTTCTGTTTGTCAGGAAATGTCTTAATTTCGCCTTCTTGCCTGCATGGTTTCCATGTTAGGGAAGTGTCTTCCAACAACTTTTCAGAAAATTTCTCTGTGCTTTTTATTGGCTCTTCCTGTTCTGGAATTCCAATCACCTGTAAGTTGTTCCTCTAAATGATGTCCCACATAACTCTCAGTACAGCAAAATGACAGACGAGTGGTGGAGCACATGATTACTTCTACCATTATTAGAGCAGTCACAGATTTGAGAGGAAGAAAATAGAACTCTACTTCTAGATAGGAGAGTAGTGTCAAAGAATTTGTGACCATCTTCAGTCTACCACATAAGAATTTTTTTTTTCCATCATGACAATCCACCTGCTCATTTTTCAAGGCATGTAGTAACAAGAACTGCTGTACAAGAATTTCCTTGGGAATTCTTACCTCATCTACTCTACAGCCCTTGTCTCTTCAGATTTCCTTTTGTTCCCCAAACTTCAAAAAACATTGAAAAGGAACACAATTTGAGTCTCTAGAGATACCAAAACTGCAGTTTTCATGTAATAAAAATAGAAGAATGAAGAACTGCTTACTAAAGGTTTCTATGATTTTATAGCAGTATTTTTCAAATTTATACCACCAACCACTAAAGCCAGTTATGATGAAATTGAAGAATTCTACTAACTTTTTCAATCTGAGATTGATCACACATGCAATCAAGATATGTTGATAATTACTGGTGATTGAAGTGTGAAACCTGGAAACAAAGAGGATCAGTAGTTAGAAAATACGGACTTAGTGATAGAAATGGTGCTGGAGATTGCATGATAGAATTTTGCAAAACCAGTGACTTACTCATTGCAAATGCCTTTTTTAAACAACATAAAAGATGACTATTTATGCGTGGAACTCACCAGATGAAACACACAGAAATCAAATTGACTACATCTGTGGGAAGAGTCAGTAGAAAAGCTCCACATTGTCAGCCAAAACAAAGCCAGGGGCAAACTGTGGAACAGACCATCAATTGCTCACATGCAACTTCAAGCTGAAGCTCAAGAAAATTAAAACAAGTCCACGAGAGCCAAAATTGGACCTTGAACATGGTGGTGGTAATGTGCCGTAGAGTCATTTCCTATTCATAGCGACCCTGTATAAGGTTTCCAAAGCTGTAAATTTTCAAGGGTACAGAAAGCCTTATTTTGCTTGGATCCACTATCAACACTCATGGAAGCAGCAGTCAAGAAATCTAACGATGTATTGCATTGAACGAATCTACTACACAAGACCTCTTTAAAACATATGAGAGTAAAGATGGCAATTTGAGGATTAACGTGACCCTGGTATTTTCAGTAGCCTTATATGCATGTTAAAGTTGGACAATGAATAAGGAAGTCTGTAGAAGAGTTGATGCATTTGGGTTATGATGTTGGAGAATACTGAAAGTACCATAGACTACTAGAAGAACAAGCAAATGTGTGCTGGAAGGAGGACAGTCAGAATAGAATGCTCCTTAGAAGCCAGGATGGTGAGACTTAGTTTCTTATACTTCGAACATAGTATTAGGAGGGACCAGGCCCTGGAAAAGGACATCATGCCTGGTAAAGTGGAGGGTCAGCAAAAAAGAGGAAGCTTCCCAAAGAGATGGATTGATACAGTGGCAGCAGCAATAGGCTCAATCTTAGCAAAGATTGTAGGGATGGTGCAGGACTGGGCAGTGTTTTGTTTGGTTGTGCATGAGGTCACGATGAGTCAGAACGTACTCGACGGCACCTGACAATAACAGTAATGTGGACTTGCTCACATGTAACTCACTCCCACTGCCATCACATCGATTCTATCTCATAGCAACCCTGTATTGTGTTTCCAAAGCTGTAAATCTTTATGGGAGCAGAAAGCCCCTTTTTTCTCCTGGAGCATCTGGTGGGTTTGAACTGCCAATCTTGCCATTAGCAGTCCAGTGCTTATCATCCTATAGCATCACCAGAGCTCCTATGTATGTAATGCAATAATTCAATAGCTTGCTTTTTAACTTTAACAATATGATATCATCATACACTTCTAAGTTGTTAATGAAACTGAAAGAGTAAATGATTGGATATTCAGACAGGCACCTATTCTCCTTGGAATGTAAACTTTGGACTAACTGGGCTACAGAGAATATTTTTCTCACTAAACTCCAGACTCAAATATTCAACTGCCAATTTGATATTGCCATTTTAATGTGCAACAGACATCTCTAACTTAGAGTGTCTGAAACTGAGCTACTGATCTTTCCAAACCAGGTCTACCTATAGTTTCTGGTTAGAAACATTCATCCTTACAAGCCCAAATTTGTAATAGAAAATCTGTGGTTTTTCATTGTTTCGTTTCATTGTCATGTCCAATATTCAGAACATCAGGAGAGCCTCTTGGCTCTTTTGTCAAATTATGTTAGATTTCATATAATTAGACAAAGGAAGAATGTCCCTTAATAAATGATGACACAAGCCTGCCCCCTGACTCCTGTCAGTATTTCATCATCACCTCCTGCTACTATCTTCACCCCACTTCTCATATATCTTCTACCCCACTCCAATTTAGACAGCAACATTCTACTTAACCACTCTTGCCTCAGTTATGAAAATTCAGTGTTGTTAAGTGCCATCAAGTCGGTTTTGACGCAAAGCAATTTTGATGAGAGTTTCTGAGGTTTTAAATCTTTGCAGGAACAGAAAGCCTCATTTTTCTTCCGTGGAGCAGCTGATGGGCTCAAGCTGCGGGCTTTGTAGTTCACAGTCCAGTGCTTATCGTATGGAGCGACCCCACTCCCTAAAAATTCTGTAGGGTGCACAATTTGCAGCTCATGAGTCCTGGTGTGGTGCAGTGGGTTAATGCGTTGGACTGAAAAGTTCATTTGAACCACAAGGTTGGCGGTTCCAGCTCATCCAGCTGCTCCTCAGAAACCCTATACAGAGTCACTATGGGTCAGAACTGACTTGGCACTTAACAACAACAAATCTTCGTAAAGTATAAAGTAGTCCATTGTCCTTTTCAGTTGTTCCGGTTACTATAACTGTATCATAAATTGCCCCCAAATTTAGCAGCTTGGGCAACCATGTTATACTGAAGGATTCTGTTAGTCAGGAATTTAGTCGGGCACAGTGGGGATGCCTTATCTCTCCACAGTGTCTAGAGTCTCATCTAGGAAGATTCAAAGCTTGGGGCCCCTCAGTGGCTGAA